ACTACATCAAAAACTAATGATGTAATGTATGGTGACTAACATAACATAACAAAACAAAACAAAACAAAAAAAAGCATTTACCGTGAGTTAAACCCTACGCTTGACCCTGCAAGGACAAGGGCACTGGTGCAGTGTGAGTAATCGAGCCAGGCACTCCAAAGTATTGCCTACGGTTAGGGTGTAGGGAATGGGCAGGAGATAAGTACTCTAATAATCACAATAAAAGGCAGAAATCTAAGTGCTCTAAGAGAATTACAAAGTTTTATGAGATTGAAAGATTGGACCTTTAATGAACTTTGAAAGCTGAATTAAGGTTCCAGCCGACTGAGATGGTAAGACCGAAGGGAATAGTGTGAGCAAAGGCATTGAAGTAGGAATGTGTGGTGACATGGTCAGGAAACAGGAAGTAGTCCACTTGGACTAAAACAGGACTTAAATAGAGAAGAGGTGGAAATCACACTGGAGGGGCACCTGGGTGGCCCAGTCAGTTGAGCATCCAACTCTTGATTTTGGCTTGGGTAGTGATCTCGGGGTTCCGGGATGGAGCCCCAACTTGGGCTCTGTGCTGGGCATGGAGCCTGCTTGGGATTCTCCCTCCCTCTCCCTCGGCCTCTCCCCCGGCCTCTCCCCCCCTCAAAAAAAAAAAAAAAAGACTGGAAAGGTAGGTCATAGAGCCTGGGAAGCCAAGGCGAATGGTTCATACTTAATTAAGTAGGTGATAGGAAACCATCAGAGGTATTTGAAAGGGAAATAATGTGACCAGAGCTGTATTAGGAAGATAACACAGCATGGGGTGATTTGAAGTAGACAGAGACAAGAAGTAGAGAAACCAATGAGAAAGAATAATGGTCCAGATAGTATATTGACTTGGAGGCAAGGTGGTTGCACCAAGAGGGGAAAATAGGGATCTCGTGTGAGGTATTTTAGGAACACAGAATCTTTTGAAAGGTAGCTTCTCTATACACTTGCATCTACACAGCTGCTCATGCCAGAAGTCTTAAGAATCAGCCTTGCCACCTCCCTTTCAGTCTCTCCCCACATCCCAGTCCCCAAGTCCTATCAATACCACGGCCAAATTGTGTCTCCAGGACATCCCCTTTTCTCCATCACCACAGCTATTGGCCATTTGTCACCAGAACCACACGAGTAGCCTCCCAACTGGTCTCTAATTCTGTTCTTGCCCCTCCCAAAGCAAAGTGGTCCGATCCTGTGCCTCTCCTGCTCAGAACCCTTCAAAGTCTTCCGTACATGGTTAGTAAGCCCCTGCCTGCTCTTCCAGCCTCATCTCAAGCAAGTTCACAACTTTTTAGCCACACGGCCTTCTTTCAGTTCCTCAGAGAAAGGCATTAAGCGCTTTCCTACCTCAGAGCCTTTGTACGTGCTAATGCAGCTGCCTAGAATGTTCTTCATTCATTATTCACCTGACAGACTCCTTTCATCTTTCGGGTCTCAGTTCAGATTGTCACTTCCTCTGATCTGAGAGATCTTTCCTGATTCTCATTTTATATGATGTCTCTGGTTGCACTTTTTCATACCGACTAAAATTTTCTCCCACTTGTATATTCCAATTGGTAATTCCGTATTTGTGGATGAGAGCAGAAACCATGTCAGTTTTGCCCACCACATTATTCCCAGAGTTGAACACCGTACCTGGCTTCTGGAAAAGGCCCAAGAAGTATTTGTTGACTAAGTGAGCATGTGAATGAATGACTTGGCAACTGATTAAATGGAGGATAAAGAAGCAGTTTTAAAAAAAACAAAAACAAAAACAACTCGGTCCTTCTGCCTGGGTAACTGGAAAGATAATGATATCTCACAAATGCAGAGAAGTCAAGAAGAGCGTCAGATACTGTGTCATGCCAGGTAATGGTCTTGTTTGGGATTTGCTCTAGATTCCCAGGGCACTGCCAGGTGTCTTAAGAATTGTGAAAACCCAAGCTTGAGGACAGGAGAGAAGTTGGACTACAGATACAGGTTTAGGAGTCAGTGTTGGTATCATAATTGAATCAGGGAGGGCATGAAATGCCATGGAAAAGCTTATACAGAGAGAAGAGGACCCAATTCTTGTTGACGGAGTGTGTTAACATTTGCCACACCTGGTCGATAGTAACAATTGCTGACATTTATGAAAGATTTGGTGTGCATCAGACATTGTCTGAAGTGCTCAACAATATCCCACCTACACCTGCCAAGTTACCCATGAGATAATTAAAGTACTGTTATCCTCACCCTTGTGCAGATAGGAAACGGGTCTTCAAAGGTTAAGTAACTTGTCTAAGGTCAAACCTGTTTCTACCCAACTCTAAAGTCCCTGCTCTTTATCACAATGGGATTGCGAAGAGAGTGTGGGGGTGGAAAAGATAAATGCCCTTGGTGTCCTCTTCTCTTCACTTATGTGGGTAAACCAAGATGAAGTCAGCATATGAAATACCTCTCAGCGTCCAAAGCTGGAGCTGGCCAAATGGACTAGATGGCCACCTGCTTAGTAGGAGTGTTCTCCTCTAGTGTTGGCAGTGACTGTGGCTTGGGCGTTAGACTGATGAGAAATTGCACTTGGTTGGTGCCTGGGTGGCTCAGTCAGTTAAGCGGCTGATTCTTTATTTCATCTCAGGGTTGTGAAATTGAGCCCCATGTTGGGCTCCCCATTCACCAGGGAGTCTGCTTCAGGATTCTCTCTCTCTCCTTCTGCCCCTCCTCTCTCTCTCTCTCTCTCTCAAATAAATCTTTAAAAAAAAAATTGCACTTGTGGGGGTAAGGATTCATTTCTCAGAGGTTCAGGTTAGCATCACTAAGGTTAACAACTTTTAAAATCAAAGTAGGTCCTGCAGTTCAGTTCCCTTTGGACCAAAGTCAGGTCTGGCCCTTCAGAACTAAATTTGTTATTCAGTGCAAAAAGCTTTCTTCAGGTAGCACTGAAATTACGATATAAAGAGACCAAAGCCAAGCTAGATGGATATTAAACGGCATTAACTAAACAAATGCAACTTCTGACCATGATACAAAACAGGGTCCAGAAAGTCTACTACTAGAAAATAAGGGGTTGTCTTAGATAACTTTCAGGCCTTCTTCCAGTTCTAGAAGTCTAAGTAGATTCTACATTTTGAGACTTTATTCTAATCCATAGCCACAGATTTAACATAATCTAAATCTTTCTGTTTGAAGATTTTTTTTTCTTTAAGAGAGGGAGGAGAGTGGGGCAGAGGGAGAGAGAATCTCGAGCAGGCTCCACGCCCAGTGCAGCATCTGAAATCAAGAGTCCGACGCTTAACCGACTGAGCCACCCAGGCACCCCTGGCGATTTCTTTTAAATGAATTTTTTCATCTCCTTTTTATCTGCACTCCAATATCTTACTTTGCACAAAACTTCATGTTTTGGTTTGGTTTTTTTGTTTGTTTGTTTTTTAAAGATTTTTTTATTCATTCATTTGAGAGAGAGAGAGAGAACATGAGCAGGGGGGAGGGGCAGAGGGAGAGGGAGAAGCTGACTCCCTGCTGAGCAGAGAGCCTGGATGTGGGGCTGGATCCCAGGACCCCGGGATCATGACCTGAGCTGAAGGCAGGTGCTTAACCAGCTGAGCCACGCAGGGGCCCCAAAACTTCATGTTTTGAATGCCAGTATAACTTTAATGTTATAGAAGCATTTATTTATAGGCATGTGGAAATTTGGGCCCATTAAATTATATGCACAAGCTAATGCAGCACAACTAATTACATACCCACTGACATTAAATCTGTATGGGCAGCCATCAGAACTCACTGGATGTGTTTGGTGCAGCAGCCTTTCAAAAACGGGATTGGTCTTCAAAAAGGAAATGGTAGGGCGCCTGGGTGGCTCAGTTGGTTAAGCGACTGCCTTCGGCCCAGGTCATGATCCTGGAGTCCCGGGATCGAGTCCCGCATCAGGCTCCCTGCTCAGCGGGGAGTCTGCTTCTCCCTCTGACCCTCCCCCCTCTCATGCTCTCTGTCTCTCATTCTCTCTCTCGCAAATAAATAAAATCTTAAAAAAATAATAATAATAATAAAAATTAAACACCTTTGGGACGCCTGGGTGGCTCAGTCGGTTAAGCGTCTGCCTTCGGCTCAGGTCATGATCCTGGAGTCCCGGGATCGAGTCCCGCATCGGGCTCCCTGCTTGGCGGAAAGCCTGCTTCTCCCTCTGACCCTCCCCCCTCTCATGCTCTCTGTCTCTCATTCTCTCTCTCGCAAATAAATAAAATCTTAAAAAAATAATAATAATAATAAAAATTAAACACCTTTGGGACGCCTGGGGACATCTGCCTTCGGCTCAGGTCATGATCCTGGAGTCCCGGGATCGAGTTCCGCATCGGGCTCCCTGCTCGGCAGGGAGTCTGCTTCTCCCTCTGACCCTCCTCCCTCTCATGCTCTCTGTCTCTCATTCTCTCTCTCTCAAATAAATAAATAAAATCTTTAACAAAAAAAAAAAAAGGAAATGGTATTTCAGATGGACCTTAAAGGTTATAGAAGATTTTAGTAAGGTAGAGATAAGAGAGGAATCTTTCCAGCTACAAAGAGTAATGAACATATATGTGGAGATCAGGAAAAGTGAGAAGAAGCTGAGGAACAGCAAGTGGTCCAGTTTGATTAGAACAATAGAGGATCCAGAAAGGAGTAATAGAGAAAAACCTGTCAGACCTTTCAGGTAGGTGGGGGTGAAATGACGGAGTAAGATAATAGGATGTGCATTGTCTTCAGACACCTGCTGGTCCAGGTACAAATTGTGTTTGGATTAAATATGTACTAGTTGCATCACCATTGACTAATTATTAAACTTCAACCATCCATTTCCTCGTGTTCCCAAAGGGCAGTTTTGCTAAAGGATTGAGGTTAAGCGTTAAGCAGTTTATCTAATAGTTATTTAAATTGGATTTAATTCGTAACAAGCAGCAATATTTGGAAACAGTGCAAAATTTACACGAATTTTTAAAAATAATGTAGTCGTCAAAGAAATGCCTTACTTCTAGAGAACCACTCTGACATACCTGTGGTTTGGATGTGTTTGTTCTCCTCTGCTCTGGAAAAGTTGGGGGAGCAAACTGGGAAGCTCAATAGGAGCCTGTGAGGACTGAATGAGATAAAATGTGTAAACATTTGACCAATCCTACCCAAAGTAGTTTTGTCTTGTTTTTTAAGATTTTTATTTCTTATTTGACAGAGAGAGAGAGCGTACACAAGCAGAGGGAGAGGGAGAAGCAGGCTCCACACCAAGTGTGGAGCCCCACGAGGGACTTGATCCCAGGATTCCGGGATCGTGACCTGAGCCAAAGGCAGATGTTTAATGGACTGAGCCACCCAGGCGCCCCCTAAAGGAGTTTTAAATAATTGTTGCCTTCCTTCCCTCAAGAAATATTCCTCTCCTCCCTTTCCAACTGTGGTCTTGGGACCAGTAGCATGGGCACCTCGTAGCATGTCCTGGCTTGCGTCCTAGGAACTTGTTAGAAATGCCATTTGCTAACATCACTTGTTGTTCTTCAAATATTATTATTCTTACTCTTACTATTAATATTATTATAACAATGATATCATTGTCATCTCTGATGTCTAACTCATATCCTTACCTGCACCGTCTGTTTCACACTTTTGATGAGAAGGTTAAATATGGAGGAATTTTTTCCATAAGGTGGTTGGACTCCTAGTTCCATTTTTCCATTTCTGTCTTGTGTCAGCCACCTGGAGCACTCCAGCCTTCTCTTCATCGATTGACTCACATTTCTGAATACAGTTAATAAACTGTATTTATATTGTAGCTTTAACAAAAATGAGGTGTCCTAGTTGCAGCTGCCAGGGAAAGCTGTTCTAAGCAAACTGCCCTTCTCAAGCATAGAGTTTTTAAGGTGGGGGGTGGTGTGTGTGTGTTGACATTTTTTCAGCAATTGCTGAAATCCAGGGCCAGGAGATTTAGGACCTGCCTGGAGTTCTCGTGGTGAAGCAGCTGTGGTTCCCTAGAGACCTTCAAAGCCTGTCCATGATTCATGCAGCCCAAAAGATGTTGTATGCATCTTTATTTCTCCCTGTTTTCAAAATGAGAAAGGGAGGTAGCAAGTAAGACACTAAAAATAAGGATAAGTAATTTCTGGATAAGAATTGCCTTTGGGCTTAAAATGGACTGGTTTTTAAATCCAAGTTCCTCTCTATTCAAGCACTGGCTTTGAAGAAAAAGTGAGATTCATTAAATTCCGGACACCTTGAATGAAGTATTCTATCTACGCACCATATGTACCAAAGTTGTTAGTGATAGAAGCTTCTGATAGAAATGCCATTGCTTTCTAACTATAAGGACACTGGTCAGAAAGCAGGTAGAATATCAGGCCAAAAATGATCAGACCCACGTTTTGTTCTTGGCTCACATGAAGTCATCAAGTTGACTATTTAAATGCCCCACTCTGGTGCCTGGGTGGCTCAGTTGGTTAAACGACTGCCTTCGGCTCAGGTCATGATCCTGGAGTCCCGGGATCGAGTCCCGCATCGGGCTCCCTGCTCGGCGGGGAGTCTGCTTCTCCCTCTCCCACTCCCCGTTTGTGTTCCCTCTCTCGCTGTGTCTTTCTCTGTCAAATAAATAAATAAAATCTTTAAAAAAAATAAAATAAAATAAAAAATAAATGCCCCACTCTAAGCATAGGCTAAGTTTAAATCAAAAATAAAAAGCTTTTGTCAATTAAAGATGCCTTTCAGTACCAAGTATTCATGTTGCTATGGCATTTTCATAAGAAAAGCCTACGTGGTCATTCCGCTACATAAAATTATAGGGGCGCCTGGGTGGCTCAGTCGTTAAGCGTCTGCCTTCGGCTCAGGTCATGATTCCAGGGTCCTGGGATCGAGCCCCGCATTGGGCTCCCTGCTCAGCGGGAAGCCTGCTTCTCCCTCTCCCACTCCCCCTGCTTGTGTTCCCTCTCTCACTGTCTCACTGTCAAATAAATAAAATCTTTAAAAAAATAAAAATAAATAAAATTATAAATGGTGAGATAGTAATTTTGCAGGCAGTTCACTATAAAAGAAAAATAACGGATTCATGTGCACATGTCGTGTGCAAATCTGAAGAGGATATGAGGTCCCAGGAGGTTAAAGTTCTGATCACTGGATTTGTGTATGCTGTAATGAGAAGTGACATCCACGTAGACATGGTAAATGCCTTCTAGCTCATGAAGTTTCCAATTTCTGCTATGATAGCAATTCTAAACTTAGAGGGACTTGGACATCACTCTGGATCACTGTCCATAAATACAAAACTTCTGTTTGTAAGCCAACAGGCAGGCCAGCTAGAGTGGTGCCCCATAAGTCTCCTATGGCATATACCTCTGTCAAAAGGGGGAAAGATTGATTATAGTTCGAGTACAAATATACTGGGGCCCTGACAAAAAACGTTGAACTGTAAGTGCTTCTAGAAATTCTTATTCTCTCTCTAGCCAAAGGATAATCTGACTCCACTTTTTAATTCTTCATCAGTTCTTCTGAAAGAGTAGTAAACAGGGGCGCCTGGCTGGATCGCTCAGTAGAGTATCCAGTTCTTGATCTCGGGGTTGTGAGTTCAAACCCCGTGTTGGGTGTAGAGATTATTTTTAAATAATAATTTTTTAAAAATGAAAGAGTAGTAAACAAAAGCAAAACTAGGAACTAGATGGCATGCATTTATATTATTTATACTAATAACCTAACATAATTATGGGAACCCAGGTCATCATATCACCAAAAGCTCCCAGTTTTTTTAAGTCTTAACCCTCTTGTTCGATAAAGTATTTTTTGTTCTAAAATATATAATTTTTAGGGGCACCTGGGTGGCTTAGTGGGTTAAGCATCTGACTCTTGATCTCAGCTCAGGTCTTGATCTCAGGGTTTTAAGTTCAGGCCCTGCACTGGGCTCCATGCTGGGTGTGGAGCCTACTTAAAAAAAATAAAAAATAAAATATACAATTTTAAAATGTTTTGAAATTCTTCCCAGATATTCAAGTGATACTGAGATGCTGATATAGAAAGAAGTAGATCATTTCCAACTTTTGTACATCAAAGGATACTACCAAGAAAATGAAAAGATAACCCACCAAATAAAAAAATACTTGTAAACCATGTATCTGATGAGGATCTAGTATCCAGAATATATCAAGAACTCTTATAACTCAATAATAAAAAGTAAAATAACTCAATTAAAAAAGGGGCAAAGGATATGAATAGACATTTGTCTAAGCAAGACATACAGATGGCCAATAAGCACATAGAAAAATGCTTAACTCATTAGTCATTAAGGAAATGCAAATTAAAATCACAGTGACATACCACTTCACACCCGCTGGTATGGCTATAATTTAAAAAAAAAAATGGAATAAGCAAGTGTTGGTGAGGCTGTGGAGAAGTTGGAACCCTCGTGCATTGCTCATGGGAATGGAAAACACTGCAGCCGCCGTGGAAACAATTGAGCAGTTTCTCAAAGTTAAACAGTATGACCTAGCAATGCCACCCCTAGTTATATACTCAGGAGAATTGAAAGCATACGTTCACACAAATGTTCATAGCATTATTAAAAAGGCCAAAAAGTGGAAACAACTGTTCTGTCCTCCAACGGATGAATGAATAAACAAAATGTTATATTCATACAGTGGAATATTCCACAGCCAAAGGGATGAGGTGCTGCCACCTGCTATGGCGTGGATGGACCTTGAAGATATTACACTGATGTTTTTTGTTCTGTTAATATTATGCTAAGAAATGGGCACATTTGGTATGATTCCATTTATATGCAACGCCCAGAATAAGCAAAATTTTTTTTAAGATTTTATTTATTTGTCAGAGAGATTGAGAGAGAGACAGAGAGAGCACAAGCAGGGGGAGCGGCAGGCAGAGGGAGAAGCAGGCTCCCCGCTGAGCAAGGAGCCCGATGTGGGGCTCCATCCCAGGACCCTGGGATCATGACCTGAGCCAAAGGCAGACACTTAATGACTGAGCCACCCAGGCGCCCCCAGAATATGCAAATTCTTAAAGACAGAAGGTAGATTGGTGGTTGCCAGGGGATGAGAGGAGGGTTGAATTGGGAGGGACTGCTAGGAGGGGTGGGGTTTCTTGTCCGGGTAATGGAAATGTTCTGGCATTAGGCGCTGGAGATGCTTGCACAACATTGTGAATAGACCAAAATTCACTGAATTCTACACTTAAAAAAAGACTAAAGAGGGACTGTGTATGATCTCAGGTAGAGAGCGAACCCAACAATTACACCTATTCAGATTCATGAGGACAATTACAGGGTGTAATGCTGTTACCTTTCCTCCTGTTAGAATCTCAGTCTAAGAAAGCGTTTATTGTTTCATTTGCTGAAATGCCTGCTGAGAAAAGTCTCACCTACCTTGTTTGTATTTACAAAGATTAGATTTGGCAACTCTAAACACAAGAGAGAAATTCTCATGACAAGTATTTGGGAGCGTTGGAGAAAGAGCAGCTAATTAGCGCTTGGCAGTGGGACAGGGCAACCCTTGGGCAGCCCTAGGCCAGATCAGGTCACAACAGGAGCAAAGGGCCATTTCTCCACTGAAGACCAGTGCCATAAATTAAAAGGGGGGAAAAACCCAGGTTACTACACACACTAGATAGACATTTTTGAGAGAGAACCTATATCATGTAAAATCCAGAAAGCATTAAAAATGGATGATAAAGGGCGCCCGGGTGGCTCAGTCATTAAGCGTCTGCCTTCGGCCCAGGTCATGATCTCAGGGTCCTGGGATGGAGCCCCACATTGGGCTCCCGGCTCTGCAGGGAGTCTGCTTCTCCCTCTCCCTCTGCCCCTCCCCCCAATCGTGTGCTTTCTCTCACTCTCCCTCGCTCTCTCCATCTCAAATAACTAAAATCTTTATTTATTTATTTTTTAAAGATTTTATTTATTTATTTGAGACAGAGAGAATGAGAGAGAGAGAGCACATGAGAGGGGTGAGGGTCAGAGGGAGAAGCAGGCTCCCTGCTGAGCAGGGAGCCCGATGCGGGACTCGATCCCGGGACTCCAGGATCATAACCTGAGCCGAAAGCAGTCGCTTAACCAACTGAGCCACCCAGGCGCCCACTAAAATCTTTTTTTAAAAATGGGGGATA